ATCATGTTTTCTAAGTCCACTTGAGGGTGGCAAATCCACGTCTTAGCCTACTTGCGAGTAGCACCTTCAAACCATTTTCAAGCAAACATAAGATATTTTGTTCCAATTTAGGCGATCTAATGTATGCTTGTATGCTGTGCGCATCACGTAGTAAGGTTAGCTAATAAACCAGAATAAGAACACATATATTTTCAAAAACAACATATCATGTTAGTAAAAGCCAATCTTTAGATTGGGCGAGCGGGGGTGCTCATTGCATGACCTTCCCCTCTCGTACTCAAGTTTTCGAGTTGAGGCAACTTTGGTGATAACGGACACGTGGCCTTAGGCACGAGTCAAGGTTTCCTAAATTTCCCAAAACAAAAATATTTAGGTGGCGACTCTGTATCTGGCAAAGAAGCCCATGTTTGGCACTTCTTTATTAAAATCAGTTTTCCAAAATAATTTGCCGGATTTGGACTCTTTGGTGATTTATCGGTCTTGCATTGCACTTTGCGAGATTAGATTCAGAACCGTGACATTGAGTCCGAACTGTAGTAGCTAATGAACAAAACGGATTTCGCGCCATTCACGCACGAAGCCAGGACGTTCGGGCACGTCTACAAGCATGATAATCATTTAATAATAAAGGATTACAAGGTTATCTGTTAGAAATCTAGAAATCCCCCAAAGAGACTTCGTCCTCCCAACCACAAGAATCGGACGCGGATTATTCGGTATGCCCCCTCTTTTGCTGCTTTGTTGCAGAACTAACCTCGGATGCCTACAACGGTTATATACCGTGTAGCACCAACCGTAGGGCCTCAAAAGAGACGGTAATAATGAGCCTTGCCCAAATCCCTCCTCACACCAAATACCTAGGGTCCGAATACAACCGCTCCGTTCAAGGGTTCTGAAAACCACTTGTGCAAGACTTTTACTTTCAAATAGGGAATGCATCCCCGTCAACCAATCAATATCTTAGTAATCTCGTCCAAAAATTCGCAACCCATTACCACCCATTAAGTTTCTCATTTGAGTTAGATAATTTAAGTCAGAGTTAGGACATGCTTTTGAAATAACATCTATTGCACAAGTTTGAACAAATAAATAGCACAAGTAATAAGGTTACAACACATGAGATTCACATACGAAGATAAACACAAGTAGTTCTAGGCATATTCAAGTAGTCAAGGGAATAAATTTGCACAGGAATATAATTTCCAGATTTGCATAAGTGTGAGCACCATCGAAGGATTAAAATAAAATACATAACCCTATGACATGTGAAATATCATAACGAGACATGATCATAAATTAATAAGCATATTTATGAACACAATAGCATGAAATACCAATGCTAAACAAAAATTTCAGATTTAGTACCTGTTAAAGATTAAAATCGAAAGGGTTGTTAGAGATTTTTACAAAACTCGGCCTTCCTATGGTTTGTAGAGAATTTAATCTAGTTTTCAGAACATGTTTCGGAAATGTAATAGCTTTTCTAGATTTTTAGTTATTTAAGAAATGTTCCAGCGCTGTCCAGATTCGTCGACCGTTACGAACATTTGATTTTCTTACAAACCGCTCACTGTTTTTCAATGAAACCAATTTTAGTTGAAATATGACTCCTTAAGGAAGATTTTGATATAAAATAGAGGTACAGAATAATTTTCTGCATTTTTCTAGCAATTTTGAAAGTTGGCTGTGAAAATAGATTCTTAAGGCACAATACTCAAAACAAGAAGGTTTGTGAGAAAAGAGATCTACTAAGGGAAATTTTTTGTTTCTTTTGAGATGAAAACATGCTAACTAACATATATTAAACTCAGAAAATGTGCTTGAAGGTGTGCCTTTGGAAAGTTTGAGAGATTGGTATGAAAAAGATAGTCTTGTACCGAAATGAGGAAAAATACAAGAGAGGTAGAATCTTGGCTCAACTCTTATCATTTTTAACACAAGTAACTCATCAATAACACATCTGAAAACAATGTTTAGAACCCTTAAGAACATGTATTTGAAAAAGGAAAATGAAAGAGAAGGTTGTGTTGTGGCTTACTTGCTAGGCTTGAACAAGAGTGCTCTCCTCTTCCTTCTTCTCCCTCTCAAGACCTCTCTCTTGCTCTCCTTTCTCTCCTCTAGGCCGAAAGTGTGTGGGTGTGTGTTGTTTGTGTATGCCATGCTAGGAGTGGTGGTATTTATAGGCAATTTTGGTGTAAAAAGACATAAAGGCCTACTAGTTGGAATTGGATGGAAAAATTTGGATTTACTTGAAGTCTAATGAGATAGGGAGTGGTTAGGGAACTTAATCATGAGATTAGACAACATCTAGTTGGTCTCTAGGTGGAGTGAAACTAGTGTTGGGAACAAAACCCTAGATTTAGGGGTACTAGGTGTTAGGATTTCTAGAATATCATAATTACAATTTCTTAAAAATAGGCCCCTCACAATCTCCTAGGGTGGCCGGCCATTGGGAAGGGAGATGGGGCATTTTTTTATTCAATTTAGGTACTATGGACACATTTCCCAAAGCATATATATATATATATATAGATCTCAAATTGATTTGATGGTACCTATAGTATAAAAAGTACATGTACTTGTTTGGGGGCAAATCTTGAAATTAATAAAGAAGTGAGAGCTTGGAATTAAATTCATGTATTGGAACCTTATTCATGTAGAATTAAATTAAATTAGGCTAAGGAACCTAATTTGGCTAGGATATTCTTGTTCCGATAAAAATTAAAAATGCTAACCGGCAAAATTCGAAATAATTTAAGAAACTAAGGGGCTTTAAGGAAATAATTTAAACATAAGGATTTTTAAAGAGAATACATTTTTCAGGGGTTTCACATTAAATGTAATGGAATGAGGAGGATTAGAACCTTAATCATGTATTTAATTATGATCTAGTTAGGTTTAGGACTAATGTAAATACCTTCTAATTAAAAGCACACACATATCTATAGCAATTCCTTATAGGTACCAAAGTCATTATTACTCCAAGATTTCAAGGGATTTGTTTGTACTAAAGCACAATGATTATAGCCTAGGAGGTATGATGTCTGTATAGCCATGTGATGGTGAATTGATGGACTTGTTTTTATATATATATATATATATTGTACAAATATTGGAAATTGTAAAATATAATGTTAAAAAAGATTTTAGGGTACAAGTGTATATATAAATATATAATAGTACTTGTTTGGGGTTAATTTGTGATTTAATAAAAATGTGAGGGCTTGGGCTCCATTAAAGTATCTATTTCAAGTGTAGAGTAAATAAATTAGTGTTAGGAAAAATAATTCGGTTTATATTATCTTGCTTTGAATTTAAAGGTAAATAACCGAACGATGACTGTGAAAGTCGAAAGTTAAGGTTTAGAGCGATTAATCTAAAATTTGAGAGTTAAGTAATTAATATTAGAGTGTTAAAAATAATTTCTAAGCTTCCAAGGTCAATTAGGGTTTGTATGGATTCGTCCGTGATGCATTTTCGGTTCTAGGATTTAATTTGCGAATAATCGACGAACTAAGGACTTTATTATAATAACTCAAAATTTAAAGGTCTAATAAAGTTTACAAAAGTCAGGGGTCTCACAGTGTGTGTAGTTTTTAGTGCTGAAAATGTCTCTTCTTGCATTGGGAAGTGGGGTAAGCACCTTTCGTGGACATAGATGCACAAGCAGCGCAGGGCCGGCCCTGGGTTCGTCGGGGCCTAAGGCGAATTTCGAAAATGGGGCCCTTTTATATTGAAAAAAAATTCATGAATAAAAAGATAAGTTATAATTTTTTTATTTGTTTGTAACCATAAAAAAAATTACTTACACATATAATCATTAAAATTATAAATAAAACAATTTAATAAAACAAAATTAGAACAAAAAAATTAGGAAAAAATTATTCAATTAAAATTGATAAAGACCTAGGTAAAAAAATTTGAGCAAAATTATTTATTCCACTAAAATCTAATAGATAAAGAAGGTAAAAAAAAAAATAGGGCCCATATATTGTATGTATTATTTTTCTTGAGCCCAAACACTTTTTTTTTAATATATATTTTCATTTTAATATATATAGACCAAACTACACTTATACATAAATATGGAGTAAATCATACATGGATCCAAAAAAAATTTTTGGGACCCTTTAAATTGATCCTAAAACAAAAAAAAAAAAAAAACATTGAGCCTATAATATTTTATCAAATTTAGGGGCCCTATTTTTGGGCCAAATTTAGGGGCCTATGTTGTATATGTTTATATGTTTTACCAAATTTAGGGGCCCTATTTTATTTATTTATTTATTTATGTATTTTCATTTTAATAAATATGGGTCAAACACATTTATAAATAAATATGGGCTAAATTATACATGGGCCCAATAAAACATTTGGGGCTCTTTAAATTGATCTTAAAACCAAAAAAAAAAAAATGTTAAACATATAACAACTTTTTAAATTTAGGGGCCCTATTTTTAGACCAAAATATGGGGCCTGAGGCACAAACCCTACCTGCCTTAGGGCAGGGCCGGCCCTGAAGCAGCGTATACTTTCACAGGGGCAGGGTTGTCCTCGGGAGGATCATCTGGAGTCACTGATATGCAGTGCAGGTTGTACTTTTTGATGCCTGGCTTGGACAAGTTTGTGCATGGGAGGGAGTCTTCGTGGTAATGTGGCTAGAAACGTGCTCTTGCACTTTGAAGTAGTGTTGTCCTTTTATTGTCGTGGGATTTATTGGGTTAATAGGTTTGAGTACAGATGTTATCTATTCATATTGATGTTCCAGTGCTCATTGTTTTAAGTACTACATACACGTACACTTTTTAGTTGAAACATGAGTTATAACTTTTGGAATTGGATAGGAAGTAGTACTACAGAACTATTATTATTTGTTATTCATTAGAAGCATAAATTTCTGCTTATGAAGACAAGGAAACCACCTTCACTAAAAAAGCAACAGTAAAATCTTAGAAGACATCCCTTAAACATTACCTAACAGCTTAGCCCTCAAAAGTTTCTCACCCTTTGTGACCACCATTCTGGTGGACGCATTTTGAAACTGGTCTTTGCCCTCCATGACAAAAGTGGACTCTCCCCGGGCAATTGAGGCAGTTTTGTGCAAGACTGCCCCTGATCCTTGCTGCATTATTGCTGAACTGAGGTGGCAGACTTCCCACCAGAAAGTTGTGATCCAAGAACAAACTTCTCCATTTGTTGGCCATTTTTTGCCCGTATTCCACTGGAATTTGGCCAGAAAATTGGTTGTTCCCCAGATTGATTGCTGTTAAGTTGTCATAAGTGACTAAATTCATAGGCAAACGACCCTGCAAACGGTTACGATGCACATCAAGCACTTGAAGCTGTGTAGCTCTTCCAGAATTTTTCATCACCTTCATCATTGAGAAGCTATTAATCGAAAGGTTTACATGATTCAAATTAGGTAATGTGAGGATTTCATGGCTTATTGAACCAGAAAACCTGTTAGCACTCAGATCTATTGCTTGGAGGTTTTTAAGCCTCGCTACTGGTGAAATACTGCCAGAGAGAGTATTGTGGCCTAGTAAAAGTGTTCTCAAGTTTGGAGGAAACTGTGACAAATTCCCAGAGAGGTGGTTTCTACTAAGATCTAAGGTGTCAAGCTGCCATAATCCAATGACTACAGGGATTCTACCAGTGAATAGATTGTTCGACAATTTTAAGACGGTTAAGCTTCTTAATTCAGAAAAAAGCAGTCTCGGGATTGAGCCGGACAGTACATTGTGTGAAACATCCAGAACCATAAGGCTCTTGAGCCTATCGATTCTTGGAGGGAGACTGCCGGTGAAAAAATTTTCAGAGAGTGAAAGTGTGTTTAGCTTCACTAGATTGGTAATGGTAGTTGGTATGGGGCGTCTAAAATTGTTCTTGTTGAGGTCAAGTGTGGTGAGCTCTGTGAGGTTGCCGATTGCCGGTGACAAAAATCCATCATATCCAGCTTGGTCGAGATTGATTGCTAATACTCGGTTGCTGCTGCTTGAGTTGTCAACAGGAACTGTGCATAAGATTCCTAGAAAGTGTGGCCCCGGATTCTCGCATGGATCCATCTGAAAGTTCCAAGTTTTAAGAAATGAAGATGCTGGAATTGTGTTGGAATCAATTGCTTGCTTCACGCTGTGAAGAGCATCTATATCCGATTGTAGAGTCACCGACTCAACCAACACCACCAACCATGGAATGAAAATCAAGACTACAGTGATAGGGACTGCGAACACGCAAAAAGCAGCAAATGTGGAATGCATTGGCCTGGCCATTAGATCAAGACTACGGGATGCTATCTCAATCTCAATCTCAATCTCAATCCTGCTGGTTAGTGGTTTTGGAATTGAATTGACTCTTCCAAACTCTTAATATTGAGCATTTGTCATGGAGTTGAAATAAAGATCATTTCCTAGTCTGAATAAATAAAAGCCCATTTCAAGAACCTGTATGTGAAAGATTATTTCAGACTAAAGTTTCAGTGAGCATGCCAAGAAATTGGGGGCACAGAAAATCATATATCCTGAAAGTTGGTTGAAAGCATGGAAAGTGTCGCATAATAGAACCTGTACGTGGAAGACTTTTATCAAATTATAGTACCCCATATAATATTATTAAGGCAGTGGCTTCTAATCAAATTTGATAAATTTGATAAATAAATAAAATTTGAAATTCATGTTATGGCATTATTCCTTTAGTATTGTTATGGCAGTGGCTCTTGTAATCAAATTCATTATATAGCATTATTATTTGGAAAGTGGGTTGTCTTTTTTATGCTTGAGTTGAGCCTCATTTGTTTGATGCACCACCCCTCTACCATCACCACAACTATTATTCCTTTATTACGACCTTCAGTGGCGACTCTAGAAATTTTTATCAGTGGTGTCAATCAAAAACTTAAATACCATATATCTTACAGAAAATTCACATTAATCATTATATCACCTATGGAAAAAAAATCAACAAATTAATTTAAATTCTAAAATTATAAACAAAAATATTTCAATATATTGATACTATTGTTTAAGCAAAAAGACATGCTAATATCTAATATGGGTTCAAAAGAGTAGGACTTAAAACTATGAGTTCAAAATTATATTTTAGTGGGTTCAATTACTAATTTTTTCCCTAAAATCTAATATTTATATAATAAATAAATAAAAAAATTCAGCCAGGGGGTTCGGGTGACACCCCTGACCAAGCCTTGGAGCCACCCCTGACGACCTCACTATTATAATATTAGACAACTCACTACTACAATATAAAAATTAGTAGAGAAAACTTGAAAATATTAAGTTTTAAATTTCATCTTGTATACATGTCATACAACTTGTTTTAATTCAACATTGAAATTTTTATCAAATATTTTTCCAACTTAAAAATTTCAATGTCAAATTTTTATTCCTTGATTTTTAGTTTGATCAAATACCTTCTAATTCTTGCTAACAAAAAAAATATCTAAATAGGAAGAATAAGAATGCATAAAACAGGAAACTAAATATTAATAAGAAAAAAGGATCGTAATAATTACAATATAATCAAAATATTCCTAATCAACTGGTAATTTTAAATTTGATTTTTCAAAAATAATTTTCGAATTTTCAATCTATATATTCTTTGATTTTTATTAAATTTTTTAAATATTTCAATAATTATTATTATTTTTTAAAACTTTTATAGATCTACTTACTCTATAAATACGAAAACAAAAAATAAAAAAAATCAGTACATTATTGTATCTTTTCTTTTTTTTTTTGATTTTTTAAAAAAAATTTCACAAAAATCTAACTTTTTATGTACATATAGATTAGGTGCATCTAAACATTAAAAAAAAAAAAAAACTAAAATATAAAAAATGTTCACTAAAGACAATAAAACACAAACAATAAAAATAACTCAAAAAAACTATTTTGAAAAATTATAACCAAATAGCGTATTTGATCTCTTCCATTCTTGTTTGCATTAAGGCCTCGTTTGACAACTATATAGTTTAGCCAAAAAATCAAAAAATCACTATAAATTATCACATCTCTCTCTATTTTTCTACACATTTTTTCATAAGAAGTCAAAAAATTACTAAAATAACTTGTTCCCAAATGAGACATAAATACACTAGTAATAATTCTACGACACATTTGAATGACCACATTTTTATATTTGGTTTATTATCTGAGTTGCAACTACTATATTGAAACAGACACAAACAATGAAACTTATTAAATCATTATAGTATAATGATTTCAATTCACATGAAATATCAACAACTATGATATAAAAATATAACCATTTTAGTATATATTACATAGTGGTGGTGCATGCGAGTTTTCTTGGTAAAGACATTGAAATGATTCTAACAAGCACACCATTCTCTTGCTCTTGAATACTTTGGCTAAGTTCCCACTTTTCATTTGGCTTCACACATCAGCGTTCATTGGTGTTTCTTAGACCGCATCCTTTTTCTGCAACCAACTAGACCAAATCTCCTTCCCCCCCCCCCCAACAAAATAAAATAAAATAAAAAAATAAATAAAAAAATTCATCTTTGGATTTTGATAGTTGTGTCAGACCCAACTAGTTGAGGATTAAAATTGAATGCTAACATGTTATTTATGAAGGCCAGTGAGTATATATACAAATAGCATATACATACGTCAACGAAACTACATACAAAGCCAATGGTATAAAGACTATGCCTTTGTATCTGAATATTCAAATACCCCAAGTAAACTACAAAAAAAAAGAAAAAAGAAAAAGAAAAAGAAAAAGAAACTTAAAAAAAAGAAAAAAAGAAAAGGCTGAAATTGGATGCTTATTTATCCTTTTGTGTCTCTGTTGTGCAAAAAAACGATACAAATGTGATCAGGGTAGTCAATCCCCAATTTGCCATGTACTTTGATGCCATTGGCATATCTGTTACTAGTGCCATCTCAGTGAACTAAATGGTGCAGCAGAGCAGTCACCAACAAGAACATTATAGCCCTTTGGGAGCTCTTACTCCAAGCAGAAGACAGATAGTGAGCACCTACCAGATGTACTGATCCTGTCAGTTCATCTTGTAATTTAATGCTTGAAGAGCCTGAAATCCACCATAACGGAAAAAAAAGAAAAGAAAAGAAAAAACAGTGATTTAAGCAATTCCTTAGATTATTGTAACTTCAATTTAATTTGGTCTAACATTTTAAATATCCAAACAGGGTTCAACATCAATCATTTTAAAAGCATCACAGTTCACATTTAAAACTAAAGCACCAAAGTCAGATATCATAGTGCTGGGCATTGTTGACTAAGCAAAGCTTACCCTAAAGCTATTTTGCACTTGGACATAGTAAATCATTCAATCCTTATGCACCAAGTGAGATAGTTTAGCAATGTCCCATGTTATGTAAATAACTGTACTAAAAAAGAGGAGACAACTTTTTGCTTCTCTCATTCATCTTTCCTCTCCTTGCTATTCTTTCCAGTGTAAGCCCCAGAGAACAAACTGTTGAAAGCATGGTAGTCATAAAAAAAATGAAAGATCAAGCCTATAGGATACCAAAAATTGTTTTCCATCTAAGGTATCACCACTTGGTCCCACCACTTATGTTTGTCAAATCGATGTAGCACATCACGTGGTAAACAAAATATGATCATCATCATAATAGCATTATTGTATTGATATCTTCTAGGGGAAAAACAAAACCTCAATCACCAAATAAATTTTAATCAACTAGGGCCAACTTAGTTGGCCAAAACCCTAGCATCTCATTAGGATGGTCAAGGTTTTGATTCCTCCTTCCCCCAAGCTACGGCCTCCAATGTAGCAAAAACAAAATAGAAAATTTGAAAAGTTTAGCTATCCATTAGAAACAGTTGATAGAGTGATCTCTCTTTGGAGCTCCAATGCAAGTATAATCATAAACTGAGGAAAGAGCAATCAACCATTTCACTCCAGCTCGGCAAGACATTTCACACTCAAATCTGAGATTGTCCTCAAAAGTTCTTTCAGTAATGATAAACATATGAAAAGGAAGTTTAAAAAAAAAACTAAGCAGGTTCTATAGTTATTATCCTTTAATGGATTGGCTAGTAAGAGTGGACTTTTTGGCTGGCTACAACTCACAAAAATTAAAAGGTGATGGTGATAGCGAGGACATAGTGCAGGAGCTAGATACATAGAATCCTTCTTTTGATACCTGTGAATTGCTTTACTGTTTGAGATCTTCAAAGCAAACTTCAGATTGTAGATGACAAATGCAATGTTACGAAACTTCTAACGGCAGAGTTGGAATGGTATTTGCTGGGATCTAGCAAGGCAAGGTGTGAGCTTCCACTTGAAAGCCTTTCGGACACTCTCATGGCATTCCAATCACTTCTCTTCTCATGCTCCCATGCCTTGAATAAAGGAGACATTTGACTTATCCAGCCCAATTCATTAATTCTAAATGGAGAAAAGTGATTACCTTCTTAGATAATGAAATCCCCATCAATAGGACAATCCCACACACAACGGCAATTGCCTTGTGAAATTAATGGTTATGATTTTGATGCAGGATCTTTTACTTTATTTTTTTGAATAAATTATTAATAGGTCTTAATATTTTGATTTAATTCCTATCAAGTCCTATTGAAAATAAGTCTCGTCGCTAAAAATAATTTTTTTTGACGATTATTGACATCTCACTTAAAACTGACAATTAGCGACTTTTTTTTTTGTCATGACTTTTATAAATTCTCTAAAACTTACAATTAGTGACGTTTTTCTGTGACAATTTTCAAACTGTCGCTGAAAGTTGACTTTTTTTGTGACAATTTTTTAAACTGTCGCTAAAACTTATAATTAGCAACATTTTTTGTGACAATTTTCAAACTATCACTGAAAATTAACAATTAGTGACATTTTTTAATAGTGTTTGATAAAAAATGCCATTAATTCTCACAGGACCTATTGGACAATAAGTCCACCTATTAGGACCTACATTTAAATCCCTCTAATTTTTTTTTTGGTAAGTATGAGAATTATGTTGAAGCTTATTATGCTAGCTTCTTTGTTAGAATATCCCATATATTCATGTTTGGAAGTTCTTGAAGATAAATTGAGAGAGAAAATGTCATGATGGTTTGATCATGTTCAACAAACCTGTAGATGCAACGGTAAAAAAGAATGATATAATCACTGTAATTGAAAATGCTTGAGGGAAGGGAAGACCTAAACTGACACAATGTGTGGTAGCCAAAAAAAAAGAGATATGAATCTATAACTAAGCTTGACAGGGCAGAAAGATTCATGTAGCAGGCAAAGAGAATTTTTTTTTTACGACGTTCTATGGTGGGCCTGGCCAATGTCTAGCATGTGGTGGCTGCATGAATTAAGCAAGACAATAAAACAAAAACAAAAACAAAAAAAAAGATTTTTAGCCTTTAGTGTTTCAGCCTTTGCTGGTGTTGCTTTGCTGTCCAAAGGTGCATGGTTTAATGAGCAACTGTGGTCTAGATTGCCGGAGTTGTTTGGTCCAAGTGCTTTAGCGCATTTTGCAGTTCAATGGGAGAAAAAAAATTACAAACAGATTATTAGAGCTCTTGCACTTCCTGACAGTGCTCCGGTCGAATGGTGCCTCATGAAAGTCGCATGAAGGATTGTAATTAGACTATCGTTTACATTTTTAGCAAAAGGTTTCTTTTCCTTGTCAAACTACGGTTAAGAGTTTCCCATTTATTAAAATACATGTCAAGACTCAGTATTGGGAGATCTTCACCTTATTATTTTGAATACAAAGTTTCTCTTTCTTCTTCGTAGAGTTCTAAACTTCTTTGCTAAGGCCAGGGGTTTTCATCCTAATGGATTCTTTGTGAGTGTTCATATGATTCAATAATGGTTTTTTAATGTTAGATTATGTTGATTGATTGGTTTAATTATTTTTTTGGAAAATTTTGTTCAAAATAATCCCTTGTTCTATTATCGACTCCGAGCACTGTCGACATTTGGAATTCCCTAAACAATTAGGTTTTATTATGTGATCAATCAAACAAAATAATCAATCTTTTGATATATATATATATATTATGAAATAATTGTTCTTATCTTCTAATTGATTATACCATTTGTGTATTCCTCAATTGAGTTATACAAACTAAATTTGAAATATTTTAAAGGAAACATTGGTAGAGGGTCTTTGATACCTTAGAGACTTTTCAATATTGTTTTTCCTAACTTTATTGTTACCTGTTTAAATCTCTAAAATCATTCAAACAAATAAAATCATTTCATACACCAATCCCTGTGATTCGACCTCAGACTCACGAAGATATTGGCCTCGTTTGGGAAGTGGCTATTTTAGAGGCTTTTTGGCTATTTTAGTAGGCTATTTTAGTTTTTGTGTTTGGGAAGATGGGATAAACTTTTATTTGAGTTGGTGTATTGAAAAATGTGTTGAAATGATGTTTGCAATTAAAATGCCAATTTTATCCCTATTCTCACATTTTTCAAAGTAAATCAATAGGGGCAAAATTGTAATTCTACTACCTGTCACTGTGACAGTCTACCACTGTCACAGTGACAGCCACTGCCGGCCTACTTTTCTTTTTTTTTTTTGAAAACCTTTTGATTTGGAGGCTTTTAGGCTATTTTTGTTTTGGAGGCTATATTAGCCTAAACCACCTCTTCCCAATCAGCGCCATTATATCTCGACATCATGCACTAGGGATTACAATACAAAAGTTGGAAAAAAAAAAAAGGCCCACACATTAATGTGTGTTTGAGAGGGGAAAGATTAGGTACACACCTAACCTTTTGCATATTGCTTTGGATACACTAATCCCTGTGGTTGGACCTTGGAATCAGCGAGATATTATTTCGTGACATCCTTCACTTGGGGTTGCAATAACAAAGTTGCAACAATTGGTATATGTGATTACAAGTGATTTACATGATCAAACTTCATACCATGGTTAAAGAATTTAGCAGGGCTGAATATGAAAGTGTGTAAGGTAGTGGAGTAGGTGAAGGTAAAGATGGGAAATTCTAACAGCCCCCCGCAAACTCAAGGAGGATAGAAACTAACCAACTTGAGTTTGGAGGTAGGAACAAAAAACAAGAAAATACATAAAAATAAAAGAGGATAAGAGACACTGTATGGGGGTGTCAGACCGATGTAGAAGACAGTTTATGGGGTCATGTCGGACCGTTGTAGAAGACAGTTTATGGGGTCATGTCGGACCGTTGTAGAAGACAGTTTATGGGGTCATGGCGGACCGTTGTAGAAGACAGTTTATGGGGTCATGGCGGACCGTTGTAGAAGACAGTTTATGGGGTCATGGCGGACCGTTGTAGAAGACAGTTTATGGGGTCATGGCGGACCGTTGAAGCTAACCGGAATCAAATGTCGGGACAGTTTATAGGGTCATGTTGTCGGACCCATAAAAGTTGCACCCTCAAAAGGTGTGCCCAATTTGTCAAAAGGCGTGCCATCAAAAGGCGTGCCCAATTCATCAAAAAATGTGCCATGAAAAGGCGTGCCAGTTTGTCGGGCGGCAAGAGGCGCGCGATGCGCGTGGCTGCCTTGGCTATATAACCAAGACGAAGGCAGAGGCTGAGGCAGAGAAAAACTGAGAAAAACCTCTGAAAAAAACTCTTCTTCGTTTTGCTGAGAGAGACAGTCTGTAACACTCTGTTGCCCAGAAAAATGGCCTCGTCCTCGTCTTCCCGTGGACTGCTCACCCTCTTTCCCGACCTCAACGAGTCAACAAGAGAGAGAACTGGAGCGGTGGCACTGGAACCTCAACCGAGTGCCCCGGAGTTTACTCCGCTGAACTTTCCGATGCGGTCGGTGGAGCAAAGAATGGCAGTGCAGTCGGATGTGGAGGCCAATCAGTATACTTTGAAGGCATGTGTGGAAAGCATGACGGCGGTCACAAACTTGTCGAACCGGCTGCAGAGTAGGACAAATGAGGTGCAGCATTTAAATTCCCAGCTGGCTCTGCTCCAACGCATGTATAAGGATGCGCGAGCAGAGATAAGCGTGCTACGGGCAGAAAACAAGGAGCTGAAGCGGAAGGCCACCGTGATGTTCCGATTTGGAGGGCCGCCATATGCTGCAGTGGAGGAGCAGGGGGGAGTGAACGTGCTCGGTGGAGTAGGAGGCACGGAGACAACACCGGCAAGGGCCGTCCAGGACGGAGGCAAGAAAAAGAGACCGACGGCAGAGTAGAGAAGGGATGTCGGTGTGTGGCCGTCTGCAGAAAAAGAAAACAAATCTTTTGTTTGTGGGTGTTGGATTTGTTTTTTTTTTTTTTTTTTTTTTTTTTTTTTTTTAAGAAAAGAGAAGATAAAATAAAATAAATAAAATTGGGATTTTTTTTTTTTTTGTCAAAAACAAAGATGTGGATGATGGGTTGACAAGTAGACTGGTTTTGGTTCTGTTTTAAGAAAAAAAGAAAAATAAAATAATAAAAAGAAAGTTTGTTGTAGTGATGGTGGTGTGCATGTGTGTTAAGCTTTAGCTCCAGGCTCTCCTTTTCTCCCTCACGAGAGAGAGAACTTATGATTATAAATTGCTATTGCTAGTGGTAGGGCCCATGGTGAGTGTGTGCCCATGTGCGTGGTGAGTGTGTGCCCATGTGCATAGGCCTGCCGAGAGGTTGAGGTAAAAATATTAAAAAAATGTTTAAGCACTCCTGATGATAGACAAGGGTTTGATAACCCAGAAAATAGGCCGTCTTCCCCACCCTCATTATGATAGACAAGGGAACTTTTTTTATGCATAACACCATGAGGAGAACGCACAATCTTGCCTCCAAAAGCCTCCCCAATGCACTGCAGTCCCATACAGACACCAAACAAAGGTACAGTAGGTCCAAGTTCCAATACAGTTTGCAGCGATATTCCTGAATCTTGAGGTGTGCCTGGTCCGGGGGATATAAGCACTCCTCTTGGATTTTTCTTTTTTAATTCATCCACAGTAAGCTCATCATTCCGGTAAACCTCAAAGTTGCAACCCAGCTCTCCCATATACTGACAGAGATTGTAGGTGACGCTGTCATAGTTATCGATGACGACGATTGGATTCGTGATCTTGTTCTTCACGGAGACAAGCTGAGATGCCAGAGAGGCATTCTGAGAAATAGCCATTGGAATTTTGGAATGTTCTGCCATTCTGAGCAACAACAACGATCCATGATTACGAAAAGGAAGAGAGACACGAGAGCCAGTCGGAGGATGAGGGGTTAGGGTTTTGCGAGGCAACGAAGAGCGTTTGAACTCAACGAGACTCGACTGACAAACTAAACCAGTGGCTCTCATGGTCTCCATCGTCAATTCGAAACACAGCGAGAGACAGAGAGAGAGATAGAATCGCGGGAGATGCTGCTGCTGCCATTGATAAAAGACCATGCTCATCATGCTTTAGCTTGGATGATGGTTCATCTGGAAACTGAGAGAGTGACAGCTTCCGCTAACTCCGAATCAAAACAGCGGGAGAGAAGGTATGTGTAGAGGTCCTAGCGGATTAGGTAGAGATCCGGCGGACGGCTAAGGTGAGGTTGCCGCCCGCCGGTGAAGCGAAAAATACTAGATTCTAAACCTGCTCTGCTCTGATACCATGTTAAAAAATGATGTATTATTGATTGATATTGATATCTTACAAGATTGTTGTTCATTCTGTTTACAATGATTCATATATAGAAGAGAAGAAGGTAGTAGGTGAAGGGATAGTGGAGGTGGTAGGTGGAGTGAGTGTTAGTGGAGGTGATATTGCTTTGGATACACTAATCCCTGTGGTTGGACCTTGGAATCAGCGAGATATTATTTCGTGACATCCTTCACTTGGGGTTGCAATAACAAAGTTGCAACAATTGGTATATGTGATTACAAGTGATTTACATGATCAAACTTCATACCATGGTTAAAGAATTTAGCAGGGCTGAATATGAAAGTGTGTAAGAAAAAGGAGTGAAAGAACAGTCTGAAAATTATAAAAAAATTAAATCTAAGAATTAACAATATTTAGGAATTCATAGAACTTCTTTAACATTAGCTTTTTTTTAGAATATAAAACAAAGAAAAGAAAAGGCTATTTAATATACAAGGAAAGAGAAACAGGAAGAGATACTCACAGTTGTATTCAGTCCATCCAATGGCCTGATTCTCAAGATCATACACGACCAACTTGTTTGAGAGTACTAAGTCTGCAGAATTAAAGTAAATTAAGGGTTTACCAGAATCAACAAAGTCTCTCTTACAGCAAAAAATATCATCAATCAGTTTATAACAGATTTACTGTAACAGAAATGGCTCAAAAAATCTCATGATGATTAAAACTAACAAAAGATAGAAATTAAAGTGTCAAGACCTAATATTTGGCTATCAAATGGTTGACAAAATCAGAATCGTCACAGTAAATTTATCTGGGAAAGATTACATATTGCCGTGTGATGGATTTATTTTAACTTTTCATTCATATATATTTATGAGTTTCATATCCTTCAAAGTTTTCTGCGGTTGGCAAATCACTAGATTTACCTTTCAAATGAAAAGTGATAAACTTAGATACTTGTATACCAATGTCGATGTGGAAAAAGGCCACAGTTATTTTCTTGCCAAGTTGTGATACAAAGGGAAGGGGGAAAGTGGACATGGTAGAGCCAAGAAGGATAAGGCACAATCCAAGCACCTAGGGTTAACATTTATTCATTTGGAAGATTAGGTATCATGAATATATAAAATGCCATCAAAAGTTGGCCCTTTTGGAGATGCTGTTTGGACTGTGACTTCTATAGCTTTTGGTTCTACTTTCCTAATTTCCTCTTTTCCATATGTAATAACTTAAGGAAACCAAAAATAGACATTTGAGGAATTTGACCATTTCTTTTCTCATTTATTTTTAGGGAAATAATTATTTTTAAGATTACAGACTAGGTGCAATCTCTGGGATCGACCCAAGGGATAATAATGTCATTGATTTCTGTTAAATCATTTGCAATATATATTTGGCCGATACCGCACACTAAAAAAAAAAAAAGCTTGCACTATCATTAAGTTTGTACATGCAAGGAATGGTGTGGGTTAGCAATTTCATGACTTCGATTGTAGCTTCAAGGTGTGCTTCATTGCCAAATCAAAAGGGAATTTGGAAGGCTCATATAAGACTCGAAGACTTACTTCAAAGCAGAGCAACTGAGTCAAGGAGAACAAGGCTAAGCATCAGATCAAGAGAGAAGCTTTATTAATAATAATAAGACCAAAATCTCTTATGTAAAACTCAATGTGAATTAACCTAGAACTATTATAAATCAATCTAATAAGTTGAACTCTTAAGAACTTAGGGAGATAGAGCTAACGATTTAGTAAATCTAAATTCGGACAGGACCAGTAAAGCACATAAAAGGGCGACCCAGTTCAAGAGCTCCCCTTAAAGCAAATCAAAGCCGAAAGCTTACAATCTGTCCAGCTGCTAGCTAGTCAACTCCACACTAACTTAGTCAACCAGGTGGACCAGTCCTTAAGACTAGTTGACCAGAGCTGCTACATTAACTGTGTTTTCTGCACCTTGACTGAATTGATCTTTAAGAATCAAAAGAACTTCAAAAGAACACCGCTTAGAGTCATTTGGAGTGCCATGATGTGCCGGACGAAAAGAAGGTGAAAGTTGTCTCTCAAAGCCTCAAAGGTAGAGCCTCCAATTGGTGGAAACAATTACAAGTTGGTAGGCAAAGAAAAGGCCAAGAAAAGGTTAGAGAGTGGAGGAAGATGAGAAAGAAGCTCAAGGAGCACTTCTTACCTTCTAATCACATCCTACCTTTGTTGGTTGAGAAGCAACAAAAGAAGGGCATTTCAAGTCCCAGACATCAATACGAAAGCGGCTTTACAATCGGACAATCATCCTATGACTATGTTCAAGTTGGATTCTAAACTAATGTTGGAATGAAAGAGACTTTTGATGATGGATATCATCATAAGACGTTCTTTAGTGACAAGGTGGTTGAACCAAGATATGATGAGGAGGAAGCTTTTATCATTGGTGAAGAAGATATAGAGGAAAGTTGTGGCCAAAAGAAAGATTGTGGTCAAACTCTTTACACTTGTGACGAAGATATTCCCATCTTTGATCAAGATGTGGAACAAGACTATGATCACGATGTTGCCATCTTTGACAATGAAAGTGAGGCATTGGCTTATCAGAAAGTTGATGTTTGTGAATATGGTGGGATTCCAATCTTTGACCACTATGATGATAAGGATGACTTCCTTGTAGAGAGTGAAGGCAAGTTTTGTTGATGAAGCAAGTTTTGCTCTTACATTGATTCCTATGAAGGAAGTGGTTGCAATCCCACCTTCGATTCCAAGACAATTATGGTGGATAGTCATGAAGTTGGAGTTTCATGGGTGTTGGACAATTGTTGCTTTTGAGAAATGCTTCGTATTCTATCTTCAAAATCATTTGTTCCACTTTGTGTTGATTTGGTACCTGGCCTGACTTCGTGGAGGAAGAATGAGTTTATTTTGGGACAATGCATGAAGTGTTATTTTGATGACATGCTTCCAAAATGGCATGCTACATGGGTGGCCTATTCACACTTCAACATGGCTTCGATTGATGTGCATAAATGAGAACTTGTTTTGAAGGGATATTTGCTAGGGTGATCTTGAATAAGGACTTGCAACTACTTAGTCTTGTTTGCCGTTGCGTGTCCATTATGCTTCCATAAGTAATTGTCTTGAGTTATTTTGTTGATGTCATCGTCTTGAGCCATTTTGTTGTAATCAACTCGAGGACAAGAAGTTTTCTTTAGAAAGGAAGTCTAATGTAGTTAGAATTAGTATGATTGTTATGTTTTAGTGCCATAAGAGTTAATTAGAGTTAGTTGAGTCTTTTATCTTATAAATAGGTGGTTAGGCCCCTTTATTATTCAGTTTATAATATTTTGATATTGAATATTTCAGAGCTTTAAAGCTCTTGTATCCATTTTTGGATTTTCTCTCTCTAGTGAAATCCATTTCTTGATTTGGCCCTACCATAGGAAAAGTCCAGTCAAATTATAAACCCCACAGTTTCAAGCACCAACTGTATTTAAAGTCAAAGTTCATAGAGGATACCGGGGAAATTTTACAGCATTCAAAATCACAATCTGTCCCATATACTATAAACTTAAGTAAAAGGTAGCAAACCTGTAAAATTAGTAGGTGCATACCTCCCAAAAGTGTCATGTTCTTCCCATCTCTGGATTGCATTGCACTGTTTTGCCAACCAATACACCATAAACCTTCCTGTAAAGACTTGCGTTAATTTTGAAAATTATATATAATATCAGATGCAGAACAGGCAAGTGTATTGATGAAAATGTCAAGTAGCACTAATGGAAAATAGGATGAGACAAAGCCAAGATGTTTGGCCATGTTCAACAAAGATTGATTTCTTCTTTCTTCTTTTTTCCATTTTTTTTTTTGGTATTGGGAACAAAACTATATTATTATTAAAAAGATATTACAAAAAAAGTAAAAAGGGGACAAGAAGTCCACCTAAAGGAAAAAAAATACACTTTAACCTTGTGATTTTCACTTGGGGGTGTTTGATTGGACTCTATGTCCTCCATATCGGGTAGTCCGTTATTTGGTTGAAAAATTGTAGGCTGGACTTACCTTTTGGTGCTACTTTCAAGGCAACAGGGGTGTGGGATGGAGTAATAGAGCGAGTGCAGCGGCATTTGGCAAGGTGGAAGAGGCAATATCTATTGAAGGGAGGGAGGTTTGACTTTTATTAAGAGTGTGTTGAGTAGTATTCCAACTTATTTCATATCGGCGCATGTTATTTCTATCTCGGTGGAGCGACGTTTGGAAAAACTTCAGAGGGATTTTTTATAGGGGAATTGGGGGGAGGAGTTTAGATATTATTTCGTTGGTTGGGATTTGATTTGTTGTTCTAAGGAGGGCAATTTCGGGATTAGGAGTTTGGTGACTTTCAATAAGGCTCTGTTAAGTAAGTGGTTGTGGCGGTTTGCTTTGGAGCGAGATCGTCTTTGGCGAAGGGTTATTGCTTCTAAGTTTGGAGTGGATAGGGGGGATTGGCAAGTGGAGGAGGTGAGTGGTTCTCATGGTTGGGGATTGTTTAAAGGAATATGGTTAGGGAGGAGAGAGTTTTGGGAGAAGGTGAATTTTGGGGTGAGGACAGGGGAGAGGCTTCGATTTTGGAGGGATAGGTGGTGTGGGGAGGTTGTATTGGAGGAGCATTTCCCTTTGATATATAATATTGTTATGGATAGGGAGGTTACTGTGGTAGATTGTTTGGGGGATGGGGAGGTGGTGGTTTGAAATATTCAGTTGCGGCAGTGGATGCAGGATTGGGAGGTTGACCAATTGGGGGAGATGTTAAGTTTCCTGTATGGGTTGGGTATTACAAGAAGGGGGCGGATGTGGTGATTTGGAATGTACCAGGTACTAAAGGACAATTTTTTGTCTCATCTTTTTATTAGAGTTTGGCGGGGGATGCGTTGGGGACATTTCCTTGGAGGAGTGTTTGGGTACCGGGTGTTCCGTCTAAGGTGGTTTCTTTTTATGGAGGGCTGCTCTGGGGCAGAATTTTACTATTGACAATTTGGTTTGTCGAGGACATGTGTTAATGAACCGGTGTTGCATGTGTTGTGCTGAAGCAGAATCGGCGGATCATTTGTTTTTTTATTGTGTAGTTGCGACGCGACTCTGGAGGCTTATTTGTTTTCTGTTTGGGATCCCTTGGGGTTTAGTCGAGGGGGGTGCTAACAATGTTGTGGAGTTGGCGAGGGTCCGAGTTGGGTGGCGAGGGCCCGATTTGGGCAGCGACGACGACAGGTGTGGCTATTGGAGTCTTTTTGTTTGATGTGGTCGGTTTGGTTATAGAAGAATTGACGTACGTTTCAAGAGATTTCTCATTCGATAGCGAGGCTTGAAAATAGATTTCTTGTCACCTTGTATAGTTGGTTAGAGAGTAGGGTAGATCCGGATTTATTTGTAATATAGATTTTTTAGATGATGTAATTGGTTAGGAGCTTTTGTTTTCATGTTGGGTGTCTTTATATTCTTTACATCATCTTGATGTTTTTTTAATAAAATTTCATTTTATTTATAATAATAAAAAAAAATCAATAACAAATAAATAAATATCATAAAAATATGAACATGATAGTTTGATGGAATAGCTAAAAATTTTAAACAAATTCTATGGTAGATTTCCTGAATGGCCGCAACGAATCATATGGAGAGAATAATGGCTCAAGTACTATAATTGAGACAGTTTGTGTACAATTGGTAGTCCAACCGACTTTTTTCTTTGAATGACAACAAAGAAAGTTATATTAAAAAGAAGAGAATGAAACAAAAAAGTACAGGGGGACAAGAAGTCCACCAAATCAAAAGAAAAGTACAAATAATGTCATGAGCTAGAAATGTCTCTCCAATCTCTAGAAATAAAAAATAAATGAATCCCCTTAACAAAAAGGGACACTAAAACCCAAAATGAACCCAAACAAGATATCGTATCTTGTAAACTCTCCAAATCTTCTACTTTCTCCTTGAAGATGCTAGCCAAATAAGACACCGATAGTCCAACAACCAACTTGCTTCTTCAAACTTGAATTTATTTCATGTAAATCAGTTGCTCAATTGGTTACTTGATGCAAACGCTATAACTCCAACTAGTAATCCAAAGATGCTTCAAAAATTTATTTTCCTTTTAAAATTTATAATTAAATACAATCCTAAGTGCCAAAAAAAGTTATTCAAATAAGACAAAGGGCATTTTTGTAAACCTTTTATTCAATAATTCTTTTAAACTGCTTGCATGGTCAACCATGTAAAACAAAATGGGATGGAGGCACTAAAGTATAGTGACTAGATAACTAAAAGTAGAAAACAGAATTATCATACTAAAGTTTCAAAGGGCTAATATTTTTAAACCCTACTTTGAGAACAACTAAACTATCTTTAGTTGGAGCTAATGCTTTCCAGCATGATAAGCAATTAAGACTAAGTTTTGATTCTCGCATAAAAAAAAAGGAATATGAATAGTAGAATCAGGACAAAAAACAACATACCTACTACATAATGAAACAGGTGACATCTGACTAACACGAAGAGAGAGAATAAAAATAAAAATAGAAAGGAATTGTCAAGATGAAAAAGCAAAAAGAGGTTAAAGTAATATGGGAAGATCAAACTCTCTGCTTGGGTTTGAGGTGATAAAAAAAAGGAAATGGTTATATTAAACATAACTGAGGATATGACTACAAATTAGAAGTAATTGATCCATGAAGCGGACCCAAAGTAATTGGGACAAAGGCTTCTTTAGTTGAGTTGAGAACCGATCGAAGCCGATGTTTTGAATTACAAAAACTAAATAACATTCAGTAATAACCCATGTCGGTTGCAAGATTTATCAAAAATCAACCTAACAAACGTATATCAAACCTAAGGGGGAAAAAAAAAACTTAAACTTGTTACATGATGATGTAGGACAAGATTTTAAGAATTTTTATATTTTTGATATATTATTTGATTGGATTCTTGCAATTTAGTAATTTGTGTTTAACATAAAAGTCTAAAGGTTAGGTTCTTTTTATTTGACACAAGGGTCTAAGGGAGGGTTTCTAGTATATATTTAGGTTCTTTGTATTTGACACAAGAGTCTACAGGAGAGTTTCTAGCATTTATTTTTGTGTTGGGAATATCAAAGTTTGAGTCTCTATTATCTAGTATAAATACGTTTGTAAGCCTTGTGGAAAACCAGTTTTTAATCAATATAGTCACAGTTTTCTCTATTTTCCTTGTGCACAAGGTCGTTTATCTTTGCTCGTGGATTCAAGTTGTTACAGTTCTTCTTTTCCTTGTGCACAAGGTCGTTTATCTTTGCTCGTGGATTCAAGTTGTTACAGTCCGAAGAACGATATCTTCCCCTTCGTCTACTAGAATGATATTTAGTCATTCCTTCCGCTACAACGCTGCGTCACAAGAGAACATATGTGTTGGTACCGAAATATGCAGGTTGGTTTGTCGATAGAGGTGCTGATGTGGCCCAATTAATTTATGGATGGTCTGAAGTGAGGAGCATGCAAGATGGACAAGTTCCTTGAAGCAGAGTTGTGTTTCAAGAGTGTGGCCAGAAGCATGTGATCAGAGAAGTGGAGAGAAGTTACAAGCAGTTACAGCAAGTGGAGGAGCTTTCCAAGTGATGGAGAGATCATGCTTGCGTGTATCAAGGGGGGACACATGGCTGCAGCATTTGTGGCCAGTGCAAAGGAACAAACCCATTCACAAACTCATGAAAACTAGGAGCAGTAGTTATCTATGAGTACTTTATTGTAACTAGGTGTAGCAATTAGCTTTTAAATTATCAGTTTTCCTTGAATTCTTGTTCATTGTTCTTGTTCTTGGTTGAAAGCTTGTAACAAGTGACAATTTCAGTAATACAGTATCAGTTTTTATTAGTTAGTATTCCTGTCAATTGCCTCCAAAGAAGTTCTTGAATCTGTCGAGGCATTAGAACTCAACCACATTTGCTTGATCTTTTTCTGTTTTTGTGAGATTGTGAGTTTTCTGTTGATCGACCTCTGTTGATTCGCCCCAAACCATAATTTTATTAACAACATGCTTCAACATATATCAACAGAATTTTCATATATCTGAACCCAGTGAACATATGCTCAAAGCTATCATATATTACACCAAACCATCCTTTTGATGTTTTAAAAGTTTATGCACTTCAGTTTCATTAATCACATTACTTGATTGAGGTAAGAAGATACAATTCAAACCTCCTGCAATTTTTAAAAAGTACACATCACAAATTGCAACATCTGAACTGCCAAGGAAATTGCAATCTTTTTAATTCATGTGATTGGATGCATAATATTATGGGTAAACTACTAATAGGTGCCAATAGTTGGATTTAATTCCCATCAACTCCTATTGAAAATAAGTCCTAATAAAATCGTCGCTAAAAATAATTTTTTGTGACGATTTTTTGCATGTCACTAAAAATTGACAATTAGTAACTTTTTTTTTTGTTACAGCTTTTATAAATTGTCGCTAAAACTTACAATTGGTGACATTTTTTTTAAACTATCACTAAAACTTATAATTAGTGACATTATTTTGTGACCAAATTTTCAATTTGTCGCTGAAAATTAACAATTAGTAACTTTTTAATTAGTGTTTAATGAAAAACACGATTAATTATCATAGGATTTATTGGAAAATAAGTCTACTTATTAGGACTTACACGTAAGTCCCCCTAATATTATTTTAAAAGGGGTATATAATAAAAGCACAGTTCTTGGAGTGAAAAGCAGTTGAAAATAAAATAACTATGCTACTGGACAACTCATGAAATACAGGATACTTACAAAGGGGAACAGATACTCGCGAGGATAAACCTTCAAAGAAAGCGAACTTTCAAAATGGAAAGTGACAGGAGGAAAACCATCATCAATGCTGCAATATATACCAGAAAAAAATTAATGTAAAACCCCTGTTAACTGAAAGTTTGCAATATCTACTAGAATTCAGAATAGTACAGCATTCGTGGCAACATCTTTTTATCTAACATCTTTTCATCTAAGCATATTTAGCTGCTAAAAACAAAAGAAAAACAAAGAGAATAGAGTAACAGAAGAATGCACTTCCAACATAAGCAGCTGACAAAAAGAGGTCTGATGTTCAACTCCCCCCTGTTTGCTTGGTTCATAGGCTTCGGGGGTGGTCTCTAAACCTTGAGTTTACACACCTACCTAAGCCGAGTTCTAGGTCATCAAAAAAAAAAAGAAAAAACTTGTTTTAAGTATTCCAAATGAAGCTACTGAAACAATACTACCATATCATAGCAATTTTAATGAATGGAAAACTGGGCATATTACACATTGCACCCTTAAACTTTCATCCAAATTCACTTTGGTCCCTCGTGTTTAAATTGCAATGATCTTAACATAGTACTTTTTATAGAGTATCAATGTGACCCTTCCGTCAACTCTCGTTACACATTCAAGTTAGAGAGAGTGAATGAGATTATTGTGTTTTTTTGTGGAGTTGAGGAGGGTAGTTGAGATGCTTGAGGTGTAGTGTAATTTTCTTCCAAGGCTGTCTAAAGTTTGAAGGTGAACATGAGAAATTGTGAGTTCCAATTAGGAAGTGGCAGATGCGAGTGGTTTGGCAGATGTCTTTGGTTGTTGGGCAGGTTCCCTTCTTGCTTCATGTTATGGGCTTCCATTAGGTGTCCACATAAAGTGATCTGTGGTGGCGAGGTTTGAGAAGAATTTAGAAGGTTGAAAGTGGTAATATCTTTTGAAAGGGGGCACAGTAGCACCCCATCAGGAGTACCCTTTCTAGACTTCCTACCAATTTGTGGTAAATTATCTCCAAGGTTCATTGGACCTGGTTGAAATGCTACAAGGAATAAAGAGACATCTTATGGGGTGGCTTGAGAAATGAGTTTCATATCATCAAATGGGATGGGAACAAGAGTGTTCTCCAATGGATAGAAATGAGTTTCATATCATCAAATGGGATGGGAACAAGAGTGTTCTCCAATGGATACGGAATTTGTGTAGCAGGAGGCTATGATTAGTTCAATTAAGCTATGATGTTGTCTGAAGGTATGCAGAAAAACCAAAAGCCTCTAGAGGAGGATGGCAGTGAGGAACAATGGTGGGAGGTTGGATGCGAGCATTTTGAAGAGTATCAATAATGGTGGGAGGTATTATCCAAACATACGGAGATGCCTTGCTAATCTGTTTCCAAGCTTGTTTAGATGTGGAGGGGTAGTTGTTGCTGACCACAAGAGGGTGTCTGAAGAAGGGTTGTATAGGACCCCGCATTCATTCAGCTGGTGCAAACTGAGAGGAGATGGCAAATGATTTCCTTGACCTTATTTAAATTTCTCCATAGGCGGTGATGTGCAGAGTTCCTATGCTTGAGGGCATTAACGGTTGGGAAGTTTATTTTTATTTTTTTATAATGAGGAACCCCTCCGAGGTAGGGTCACATTGGACCCACTCTTGCAAGGTAAACCACGGATACCTATAACCACCACAATTCATAGGTATTAGGTAAGACAAGCTGTTCCTAGGAATTATGGTACACAGATAAAAGGTTTAACCATTACATGGATTTAGGAATAAATTTTCATGCTAAAAATGCACACATTTATATCAAATAATAATAATTAATGCCAAATGTTTTTCTTGGAATAAATTTGTTAAAACCTATCACCTACTTCACCCACTTAAACCTACTCCACTAAACCTAACCCACTAAATCCACATACTCTCCACCTACTTCACCCACTTAAACCTACTCCACTAAACCTAACCCACTAAATCCACATACTCTCCACCTACTTCACCCACTTAAACCTACTCCACTAAACCTAACCCACTACACCACTACCATCTCACCTACTCCACTAAACCTAACCCACTACACCACTACCATCTCACCTACTCCACTAAACCTAACCCACTACACCACTACCATCTCACCTACTCCACTAAACCTAACCCACTACACCACTACCATCTCACCTACTCCACTAAACCTAACCCACTACACCACTACCATCTCACCTACTCCACTAAACCTAACCCACTACACCACTACCATCTCACCTACTCCACTAAACCTAACCCACTACACCACTACCATCTCACCTACTCCACTAAACCTAACCCACTACACCACTACCATCTCACCTACTCCACTAAACCTAACCCACTACACCACTACCATCTCACCTACTCCACTAAACCTAACCCACTACACCACTACCATCTCACCTACTCCACTAAACCTAACCCACTACACCACTACCATCTCACCTACTCCACTAAACCTAACCCACTACACCACTACCATCTCACCTACTCCACTAAACCTAACCCACTACACCACTACCATCTCACCTACTCCACTAAACCTAACCCACTACACCACTACCATCTCACCTACTCCACTAAACCTAACCCACTACACCACTACCATCTCACCTACTCCACTAAACCTAACCCACTACACCACTACCATCTCACCTACTCCACTAAACCTAACCCACTACACCACTACCATCTCACCTACTCCACTAAACCTAACCCACTACACCACTACCATCTCACCTACTCCACTAAACCTAACCCACTACACCACTACCATCTCACCTACTCCACTAAACCTAACCCACTACACCACTACCATCTCACCTACTCCACTAAACCTAACCCACTACACCACTACCATCTCACCTACTCCACTAAACCTAACCCACTACACCACTACCATCTCACCTACTCCACTAAACCTAACCCACTACACCACTACCATCTCACCTACTCCACTAAACCTAACCCACTACACCACTACCATCTCACCTACTCCACTAAACCTAACCCACTACACCACTACCATCTCACCTACTCCACTAAACCTAACCCACTACACCACTACCATCTCACCTACTCCACTAAACCTAACCCACTACACCACTACCATCTCACCTACTCCACTAAACCTAACCCACTACACCACTACCATCTCACCTACTCCACTAAACCTAACCCACTACACCACTACCATCTCACCTACTCCACTAAACCTAACCCACTACACCACTACCATCTCACCTACTCCACTAAACCTAACCCACTACACCACTACCACCTCACCTACTCCACTAAACCTAACCCACTACACCACTACCACCTCCACTTCACCTACTCCTTACCTACTACACACTCACCCTCTTCTATATATAGGAATCATGAATCATTGTAATAAATATCAACATATAAATCAATAATACAATATTCTATCTCTATCAATTTTTTTACAAAATTGTAATTTAACATACTATGCACAATACCTTCCAGAGTATTGAAAGCATGTATACTGATCATGAAGAGTTTGAAGTTTGACATCAGACTGCCAAGAGAGTATCTGATAAAAATTTAAGAAGAAATGTCAGAATTCATTGAGATTGTCATCAACTAATAAAATTTCATAAAACAGTTAAAACGATATATATATATATATATAAGATACCTTTGTTACTAGTGGCTCATAAATCAATTCAGGAAGATAAGCCAAAGTTGTACCACTGTCGATTATTGTCCCTTTCTTGTCTCCAATCTCAAATACATCTGTTGGAAGATTTAGAAAATCACGACCAACTTCAACTGCCGTCATATTGACATTGTAATGTGGCCTAAGATTGTTTATGACAAAATTTAGTTTAATGCATGCATTTGCACATATCAACATTACATAATGGACAAGAGTAAGGAATAATGTTAAATTAGAGGAGTTCACAACTGCAGAAAGCAAAGCACATAAGACATAAAACAAGGAACATGGACATTCAGAGAAAAAGCATTCTTTCTCCTTTGTAAGACATGCCCCCAAATGAAAGGCTATTATTATTTTTCATAACATCTGTTTGGCGTATATTACATTCCACATTTAAAATATGTGAAATCTAAGCAACATGCCTTTTGGAAGAAAAAATTATTGATATCCAAGGGCATAATGTTTGTCTTTTTTAAGAAGATTTTTTTTTCTTTTCCCAATTATTTAATGAAAATTCATGTCATTCAAAAAATACATACCTTCTTGATGTTCATCAGCCCATTAATATATACGTAATTATAGTCAGGCTTGGTCTCTAAAATTACACATTTACCCCTGAATTTAAAGCATCTATTGACGGACTTTGGTTGAGAGGGACCAAATTAAAACACTTTTTTATATATTACGGACTCAATTGGCACAGTTTAAACACTAGGGACCAACATGACACAAACCTAGGAACAAAAATGTAATCAACCCATTAGAGAAGTTCATGAATGCAAAAAGAAAAACATGTAAGACATAAAAAAGGGAACATGGACATTCAGAGAAAAAGTATTATTTTCTCCTTGGTAAGACACACCCCCATTGAAAGGCTTTATTATCTGTTAGATCAATTGTTTGGCCTACATTATATTCCACATCTAAAATATGTGGAATCTAAACATTTATCCCAAAAAAATAAAATAAAAAAATGTGAAATCTAAACTATATGCCTTTTGGAAGAAAAAGTTAACATTTAAGGGCATCCATCGTGTCTGTGATTTTCCAAAAGATTTTTTTTGCAAATATTTAATGAAAAATGATTTCAGTCAAAAAATACATATCTTGATGCCCATCAGCCCATTAATTTATACATGAACAATTAGGATTCAAGCACCCATCACGACCATCATATAGAAAAATTCACCAATTTATCAAGCCTCATCCAACTTAATGAGGAGACATAAATAGATTATTAGCAATAGGTAAGTGGCCTTTGAAATCAAGCGAGTGGTATTGTGATAACAATTATAGAAAGAAGAAAAGGGATTTGTGTTCATTTTAATTTAGAATGTTGCTGGACAAATTTTATGTCATTATATAAAGTTTTAGTAGTTAGTTATATTTTGAAAATTTTGCTATTTGCTGGACATCAGTTGTAGCAATCGCCCATGGGTCTTTTTATGGGTGAAAGTATGTTATTGAGTCTTTTATGGAATCTTCATTAGGTCTAGAATATTCTAGTTATTTAGAGTATGTTATGGAGTTGAAAGCTAGTTTATGCCAAGTCCAAGGCAATACTTAATAATAACAGTATAAGGAAGTTGTTTACCTCTACATCCCTCAAAATTGTGAACTATTCTAATGCAAAGTTGGTTGGCGATTAGGAGAGCAATTTTCAGGGTTACCTGTTTAATGGCAATAACTTGTGGTAGCTTGGTTACATAGAAGACCAAAAGTAGTAGTAACTTTTTGGTAACAAGCTATTTTAGTAACTTTTTGGCTAAAATATGAGGCAAAAAAAACCTAATATGTTTGGAATGACTTTTTGATTTTTTACGAAAAGATGTGCAAAAAGTAGAGAGAAAAGGCAATCTTTGACTTTTTGGTATAGGTTATAGAGTTTTTGGTATTTTTAGTAACTTTTTGGCTTTTAAGCTAAAACTCTCACATGCCAAACAAGATACATAATTATGCCTCATACAACTTATTTCACCTAGCCAATTATTTCATGGAGACCCAACCATTTTTTTTTTTTTTTAGACAAAATTATTTCATGTGAGAATCAACATATAAAATTAATTTGTCAATTTGTTAGGAAAATTGTGATGAGATAAGATTGTCATAAAATATGTGGTCTCACCATACCGGTTGGATGACATGTTTACTACATCTTTTAGCTCATAAAAAATTATCTGTTTCAAATAAGAAGACCTAATTGCTATTTGCATCCACAATGGTGTATTATGTGTAGAAGGGAGGAGGAGAATTTTGATTATTCACTGTTGTCCTATGACTTTGGCTTTATGGTGCAGGTTGTTTGGGTTGGTAGAAATCGATTGGGTATTACCTATCTCATGTGTTCAATTGTTTGTAATTGATTTTGGATCATTTGTGTGATAATTTGGATTATTTGGTTGGAAAGGAATGCAAGAATTTTTTAGGATAAGTTTGAAGGGATTGAGGTTATGGGAAAAGATTTGCTATTTTGCTTCCTTTTGGGCTTCAAGGTCTTTAACTTTTTAAGGAATTCATTTATTTTTGATTAGTTTGAATTGGAAAGCAGTGTGTGAAATGTAATTTTTAGGATTTTATTTTCCTTTCTTTTGGATAGAGATCTTGACCTTCTTTATCCTTTTGTCACTTTGTATCTTCTTCTTTTCTTTATTAATAAAAAGTTTTGTTGCTAGTCAAAATAGAAAGAAAGATTGAAGAGGTATAATTAGATTGTTATATGTAGTGAGGGTCAAGCATATAGTTTATCATTATCCAGAAAAAAAAAAAAAAAAAAAAAAAAAAAAAAAAAAAAATTAGAAACTACACAAACCAGACCTAGCAAAGGCTGTGGATCATGGATATTTGTCAGGTATATTCATGCCCCCATGTATCATCTCAACATGGGGATTGATGAAAGTAATTGAAGAATCTTACTAATATCAATAAGAATCACACAACATAACCTATTCCAAATGCCAATCAGACATTTAAGAACATCATACTTCCGTCTGGTAACAAATAGAATTAGGGAAAACGAATGAAAGTGCCAAAAATTTGCATCATGGCTCTCTCCACTCATTTCCACTTATTGCTTATTGTATCTGACAACCAAGCAAATCCAATAACAATCCTTATTAAACAACAAAATCAAATCCGCAAAACAAACACAATAAATAAGATGGAATTCAAAAAACAAAAATATATAAAAAATAGGAAGCAAATCCAGTTCACATAGTAAGATAAACACATACTGATTTGGTACTAATGGAGTAGTGTTAACTTTTGGTTGCACAACATGCCCAATTGCAAAGATACCACCACCATTTACACCATCCAAGCAATGGGCAAACATTTTTTTTACTTTTCCAGATGAAGCTAGTTGCGAAATGATAGATGAATTTGATTTTCCGAAACCTAGTATCCCATCAAGTGCATCTTCAGATGAACCCAGGTCCCCAGACTGTCTAGCACCACACCTACTCCAAATCATCAGAAGCATGACACAGTCAAGTCATGAATGAGAATACGTTTTCATTATTCACTATGAGAAGTAAAACTATAATAATTGAAACAAAGATAAAATTATGCCTCCTAAATTATGGTATGAGTACACTAAAGATTTTGTGACAGGTTTTAAATTGTTATGACAAGGTAGACACATAGAAGTCAAAATGCAAGCATTTAAAAGCCTTGTCCAGTTCAGCGAACATATTAAAAAACCAAAGAAAATAATCGAAGTAAAAAAAGGGGAAACAAAAGATCAAAAGGATAAATTACAAACATCATAAAAAACCTGAAAAGAAATATATATGATTTCTTGTAACATCATGATATCAGAAAATGCATTTAATTCAGTCAACATACTTGCATACAACACCCTTTTCAAGAAAATATATCAATAAATACGAAACAAAAACATATTAGTATTTTAGTTCAAGTAACAAAGTGTGAGCCTTGTGAAGTGACATGGTACATGTGATTGGCCCTTGCGTAGTTCCACCACATGGTACCACCACGCCATCACTTGGATGGCTTCTCCAACAAGACTTGACGCCACAATTGAGCCTCATGAAGTGACACAAGGGCCAATTGCATATCACCAACTCCTTAGCTAGCTAGGCCTAGCTCGTGCAGTGCCCTAGGCTGACTGTCGAGACCCATAATTATTTTTAATATTAACTATTTAATTTAATTTAACGTGTAATTAATTACGTGGAGATTTGAGTAAATTATTTTATTATTAACTGCTCAGTGCGTAGCATTACTTGGTTGTGAGTATGATTTAATTTTGTATATATATATTATATGCTGTGTTGAGCATGAATTACATGGTTATATGTATTTAGTATATTATTAATAGCATGTGGGATTGGTCCACGGGGTTAATTTTAGACCTACTTACATAATTATTCTGGTTGGGCTTTGCAGGGCCCACTTGGCATTTTTGGGCTTTAAATGTTGAGCCCATGTATTTATTTGATTGTTTTAACCCATATTTAATTACCAAAGTGGTTTACGACACAGGACACATTTAATTTATTTTGGAACTTACTCAATTAGAGACCCATCTCACCCCCAAAATTTTGAATTGAATTTTGAACTCGAAGCTCCCAAAGAAGCTTCTTGTCCTCTCTCCTTATGGGATGGTCGGCCAACCCTATGGCTATGGCCTTGTGTCTTTTGCTTGTTTGTATATTATAGAAGTATCATGTATAAATCTTGTTTAGGACAAGTCTTTCATTCCTATAAAAAAAATAAAAAAAAAAATCTCCCAAACCTCACAGAACCTACAAACCCATGGACACCATTTCATCTCCCTTCTTGCATTTTTGGCTCCTTCTTACTAGTATACACTCCTGTACATTTAAACCCTCCTGGTAGATCAAGCCTCCTGTGACCTTGAAACTCCTTTGAGCTTGGAGGACCCTTTAAAAGTGGTAGAAATCACTTGAAAGTTTTCTTGAAGTTCAATATTTGATGGACCAAGCAACAGTGGAAGAGTTATTAAATTTTTTTAATAACAAGAAAAAGGGCCAAGTACAAGGGAAGGGGACAAGAAATCCACCAAGAAAAAAAGAAAAGAAAAACAAAAAACATGCTCACATTCTATAAATGGCACACCAATCCCTAAAAAATTTTAAAAAGAGGAACCCCCTTTAAAAGGAGGAGCCAATGAACCCCCACCCCCGAAAATAAAAAAATAAAAAATAAAATAAAAAAAACAGAAGCCAAAGAACAAATACTTTCCCAAATGCTTTCAAAATGTTCTTCTCTTACCTAAAAAGTTCTAGCATTTCTTTCAAGCCATAAGACCCTCAAACCACACAAACCACAAAATTTGAAAGAGCTTGTGCCTTGTGTCACGCCCCGAGAATTCTGTGACACAAGGAGCAGCATTTGAGGGATGCTGGAAGGTTCCGGAAGGCTTGAGAACGGGCTAGAGCATGCTGGAAGACTCTAGAACGTGGTGGAAGGGTCCCGAGTGGCCTAGAAGATTCTGGAACGTGGAAGAACCTTGAAGTGTCCAGCAGAGTCTGGATGGGTCTGGAACATCCTAGATTATGCTAGGAGAAGCCTACCATGTACTACACTAGTGTAGAGAATTCTAGAATGTAGTAGATAGAGTAGATGTCCTAGATAGTTCTATGGAATGTTCTAGATGAGAGTTTGTAGCCCTTGGATCAAAATGATCCTAGCCGTCCATTAGGGAGGAGGATGGCTATAAAAGGGTGAGGGGTCTCATTTGTAAGGCATCGAAGGCCAGGAGATCCAAGAGAGCTCTAAGAGTGAGGCACTTGTGAGTGTGAGTGTGAGAATAAAAAATAAAATAAAAAAAACAGAAGCCAAAGAACAAATACTTTCCCAAATGCTTTCAAAATGTTCTTCTCTTACCTAAAAAGTTCTAGCATTTCTTTCAAGCCATAAGACCCTCAAACCACACAAACCACAAAATTTGAAAGAGCCTGTGCCTTGCCATTTGATCCAAAACCTCTAAATTCAATGCAAAGCAAATGCTCACAAAGGGGATGGAATAACCCAATCAACCTTCTCTAGGAAAAAAACTCACCACCATAAAGAAAGAGCTAAGGGACAATGCAAGAAAAGATGACACCACTGTGGAAGCAAATAACAATTTGGCCTTCTTTTTTCAACCATATCATTAGTATTAAACTTCATGGGAGCCAATGTCCATGCAAACACTTTAACCTCAAGAGGCACATAAACGTCCCAAATCATCATGTAAGAAGGAAAAGGAGAAACATCAAGGCAATCAATAAGATTCTCATAGTAGGACTTGCAAGAGAACAATCCAGATGACTGGACAGACCAGACCCTCTTACCAAGAGTCATTGGACAAAGAAACATTCTCAAGAATAGTCAACAAGGAGACAAGCTCAAATGGCACCAGGCAGCAACCCCACGCTTGGGGCAGATTGGTCCAGTGCCTGGGACAGTTTTACACCAACTTCGGCATAAGGTTTGGAGGGTCAAACCATTGAGTTAAGGGCTGAAATTTTTGCTGGGAACTCCTTGAGAGGTTTAGTTACCTGTTCTTGAATATGGTGATTTTGAGATTTGTAGTACTTTTTAAAAAATCATTGCGACTCCTCAAGCATAGGGTTTGTTTCGTCTTGTGAGTTGAAGATGGCTCGAAATGCAATATTAAGAGGGGGTGGTGAGCCAGCTACTAGCATCCCTAGGCTAAAATGTGGCCAAAGTGGGCAACCCTAGGGCGACTTGGGAGTGGGCTTTCGGTATCAATATGATGTGTCCAAGGTCTACAAGTGAGATAAAAAAACCCAATGGATGGTGTCATCAAGAGGCATGAGTGCCAACACCATGCATTTTACCCACGGTGTTGGCTTGGGACATGCACCCACTATGCCCCACATTCTACCCTTTTGCGGGTGTGTCCTAAGGCCGATTAAGCTAACGAGATGTCACCACAAGCCTTGTGTGCCAACTCTCGTGCATGGCTTGGGTTCAACCTTGCATGTGGGAGTCTCGTGGCTTAAGGTGTGTAGCAAGGAGGCAATGTTCCCTTGTGAGCAATTGGCTGATGCATGAAACCATGCAATGGCCTCTTTGTGCTTGGAGGGTGGGATGGTGCAATGCTACTAACAAGTAGTAGACCAAGACGTTGTGTTACTTGGGCAGCTTGCTAGTGCAACACTATGGGCACACAATGGTCTGTCTGTAGTGAACTTTAGCAAAAGTTCATGCACAAGGAGTGAGTTGTGAGCGTGAGAGTGATGCTTGGTCTTGTGCAGCGGCGTGTATGACCTCGTGGTTGTTCGAGGTGCGAAATAAAGACCTATATTCTATGGAAGCTTTCGGCTTGGTTGGGGGACTTTCTAGCACACAGTTGGGTGGCTTATGTAGTTGTGGCACTTGTGGACCAGACATGGGTGTTACGGCTTGTGTGAATTGTTTGGTTGTGGGCAACACTTCTGGTAGGCATGGTTGTTCTCAGTTGTGTGCCTTGATGACATGACCCTCAGTTGGGCATGCTGTGGCAGACTTGCTTTATTGTGAATTGGAAATCTTCATCTGTTGATCCTTTGAGGCAACATAACACGAGCAGCGTTGCTCTTGCTAATGCACTATCACTAGGTTGCCTCATGAAGCTTATGTTCCTTCCGTTGTAGGTTGGCATTACCTACTTGTGTTCATTAGTGGTTGTTTCACTTTTGTGTTGGGTTGTTGACATTTTGAGTGGGTATGTTTGGAATACTTTCAAACACACTTGCTTGTCTTGACTCTCATGGGCAGACACACCAATATGTACATGTTAACCAGAGAAGAGTTGGGTGATGTGGAAAGTCATTTTTGCCAAATGGTAACCATGTATCAGGGTGGTGCATAGTCAAGACAATACAATGCTATGGTAAGCGCACATTACTGAGTTGTCCTCATGGAGATGCTAGAGTCTTTATTAGTGGTTAGGGTGGTGAACCTTTTGTGCTGACTTGGGTGAAGATCAGAAGAAGACCGAGGTACTCGGCAGCCTACTAATTTGGGTGAAGGCCATGAGGGCTGAGGTATTGGGTAGCTTGAGATGAGCTTGAGTTGCAAAAATTTGCTTGACTAAGCTGTGTTAGACAAAATTTTGAGCTTGATAGCTAGACAGCAGCTATCATAGGGCATTCGTGGTTTCAAACAACATCAAGTTAACTGTTGGCCACACGAGCATGGGTTTGAGAATCAACTTGCTAAGTGGTTGCAGACAGTCAAGTTAGTTGAGCCTGAAGAAGAGCTAAGCGAAAAAGGTTGAGTTGCCCACTGTCTTGAGGACTGCTTTGTTGGGTCAGTAATCATAGCATGAGTTGGGCAGAGAGTGCCTCCGAACTTGAGAGTTAGTCAACAAGGGCATCAACATCTTTTTGTGGGGGAGGAGTCACAAAGCGATGATGACAATATGAGGACTTCCTCTACACTTGGGTTTTGGGCATTTCACCTCCTGTCTATTGTGTAA